AAACAGTATAGGTATTTATTTAGGCCCCCTATCTTATGTAGACTGGAGCTCGGGCACTCTATCCCACACGAACCTGTTCTAAGACTCCCGACGAACAATATTGTCATTCATCTAGTCCACTCTATTGCGCATTGGCCCAAGCGGTTCAACCGGTTCGTTAGGCTTTCGGGTTTGAGGGCGTGGGTTTCAATAAAGACCCAGGATGTGGGGACAGATAAGGCTCAATGGCAGTGATGGTGATGCTAGTATGACAAACATGATATTGACAGCAACACCAGGTATAATACTGTTGGTCCCATTCTCATGTCTGGTCTAAACGACAGCAGGACAAGAAGACTGGTCTCTGGGACAGGTTTGGGCTTTTGGTTTGGGGGTTTGGTGCGCGTTTCGGGCTGAACTAACCCTAAACCCTAAGCCCTATTTAACCCTAAACTGCTTCGGGCTCAGGGCTTTAAGTGCAGAGCTTAGGGCTTAGTCAAGACTCGTTCGACAACTCGGCTCAGCCCTGAAGACAAACTCCCAAAATCCACATAAATCTTACGCCCGAACACCCAAGATCTCCACTACCTCTTTTGTTTGCGGTTTAGGGTTTAGGGTTCAGGGTTTAGGGTTCAGGGTTTAGGGTTCAGGGTTTAGGGTTTAACTTAAACCCTAAACCCCGTTGGTATCTCGTACAATCTCTCTGGGAAGAACCCTCGAAAGCCCACCCCTCTGCTATCCCTTATAGTGTCCTTCCTAATCACCCTCAAGGGAACGCTAAACCCTAAACGTTAAATCCTAAACCCTGAACTCTAAGCCCTATAAACCTTATACCCTGCACCCTAAACCCTGAACCCTAAACCCTACACCCCGAACCCTAAAGCCTAAACCCTACCAGTACGCTCTGAACCCTGAATAGTAAAACCTGAACCCTGAACCCTAAACCCTACACCCCGAACCCTGAACCCCAAACCCTCAACTCCTAAACCCTAAAACCCTAAACCCTCAACTCCTCAACCCTAAAACCCTAAACCGTGAACCCTCAACTCCTAAACCCTAAAACCCTAAACCCTAAACCCTCAACTCCTAAACCCTAGAACCCTAAACCCTAAACCCTGACCCCCAAGCCCTAAAACCCTAAACCCTAAACCCTCAACTCCTAAACCCTAAAACCCAAACCCCTGAACCCCAAACCCTAAAACCCTAAACCTTAAACCCTGAACCCTCAAAAACTCTAAACCCTGAACTCCCAAACCCTTGAGGACGAGCCGGGGAGCTGAAGGAAGAAACGTCTTAGGCGGCATTGCAAGCTGAAGGGCAGCCCCTGGTCCTCTCGGTGGAGGGTTTAGGGTTTGGGGTTTGGGGTTTAGGGTTTAGGTTTGGGGTTTAGGGTTTAGGGTTTAGGGTTTGGGGTTTGGGGTTTGGGGTTTAGGGTTTGGCTTTTCTGGTTTGGGGTTTCAGGGTTTGGGGTTTTTATTGTTGAGGAGTGGAGGATTTAGGGTTTTAGGTTTGAGGGTTCAGGAGTTGAGGGTTTGGGGTTCTAGAGGGTTTAGAAGTTGGGGGTTTTGGGTTTAAGGGAGGAAGCCCAAAGGCATTAAACCCGAACTCCAAATCCCTAGAAGCCCAAAAAAAACCATGAGCACCAAAACCTGAAGCCAAAACCCTAAACCCAAAACCCTAAGCCCAAAACCCTGTAAGCCCCGAAAACCTAAGCCCGAAACCCTGAGCCCGGTGCTGGACCATGTTCCGTGGAAATCCCCACCCCAACCTCCCTAAACCCTAAACCCTAAACGTTTAAGCCCGAAACTCTAAGACAGAAATGAAACCCTGAGCCCGAAACCCGACCTGACAAAAACCGCTAAGGCCGTTAACATTTACATAGGCACATGAAAGAGAGGTTTAAGGTTTAGGGTTTAGGGTTTAGGGGTTTAGGGTTTAGGCACATGAAAGAGAGGTTTAGGATTCTGATAGCCGCCTTAGGTAGGAGCCCTTACAAGCACCGCTGGTTTCTTACAGATCAGAACATTCAACGTTCCACCCCCCAAAAACCCGAAAGGCAAGGCCCTGAAAGCTCCACCCTCAGCCGTAACCCCAAGCCCCATGTTCAGAGGTGCACTCTTCTTGACAATCGGGCCTTCATCATCTGGTTCAGGTGATGCATCCTCTTTCGGAACTCCTCTCACAACTCCAGGGGGTACAGCGGAAGTAAGCGGTTCAATGATTTTGGGGTTTGGGCTTAGTGTGTCGGCTTGGGGTTTACGGTTTCCGGTGTGGGACTTGAGGCATCGAGCTTGGGGTTTAGAGCTTTGGGTCTGGATGCAAAGATGCATGCACACCTGCCTACAGACTCAGATGTGCATACATCTACCTCTTACACATTCATGTACGTATGTATCTATGTATGTGTGTATCTGTGTATGTATGCATGTACTGCATACATGTAGTCCCTCTCTTATATATATATATGTATATATATATATGGGGTACATGCATACATATATACGTGCATGCATGCATGCATGCATGCATGCATGCATGCATGCATGCATGCATGCATGCATGCATACACACATACATACAGACAGACACACTTACTTACTGATCTACTTACTTACTTATTTACTTACTTACCTACTTACTTGCCTACTTACTTACTTACATGC